CCATCAGCTGTCACTGATTCCTGCTGGTCTCCCTGTATATGGTGTCCACCCATGTGCATCAAAGGAAGAGAGGTCCTAGAACTTACCGACAGAAATATCATAACATATAAAACTAGTATAACTAGCTAAGTTACGTAACTACAGAAGTAGTGAAAAGAAAAACTGTCCTGAAGTTTCAGTCGCTGTTGAAAGGGAAGTGAATATGCACAGGTGCTGATGTGTCTACTTTACCTTGTGGTCATGTATTCAGCTCGGTGGCCTGAGATATGAGAAAAGAGACAAGGTGTGACAAGACGTTAGTTGGGTGGACATGCCAAGACTCATCACTGCAGTCCCTGCAGGGAATTGTGCATATGGCTAACAAAGCATTTGCCATCTGCTCACAACCACTGGCCTTTTGAGCAATTCAAAGAAACCCCATACACGCTGTTTTTCCACATAATATTACAACCTGTGCCGAGACAGTTACATCAAAATGTAGTTCAAACATCTAACAGGACATGGATGCACTTTTAAAAGTTATGGGCGCATGCACACGCACACAATGCACAGAGCTAAGTTTAAAACGAGCAAAAGAAGATGAAGCAAAAATAACTACCAAATGGTTTCGCATAACAGGAAGACGCTCAAATTCTTGGGTGACTCAAACTGTACTTCATGCAGACACCAAAATGACTAAGTAGCATGTGGGAGAAACAGGAGGGTTTTTTCTTCCTCTTAACTTAAGTCTCCATTAATCATTCAGCGTCGAATTTGAAGGAGACCACCGGGGCTGCCTGTTAGAACAATGAACTGACAAATACAAGCTGAGCCCTTTAGGAGATCCCACCAGTGTAGAACAAGGGGGGGCCTGTTCTTATACATGGCAGGCCATTAGGTTTCAAGCAAATCAATCACTAAGATGGATAATACAAGTTCATAATTCCCCCTCGGCTCTGACTTGCCTGGTTTAAAACCAGATTACGATCTAAGAGCTTTGACTGGTGACAAAAGCAAACAAACAACAGGAAGTTTGCCACAGAATAGACTGAATTTGCTCAAGATGGACTGCCAAATATAATCGAATTCAGTAAAGTACACAATTATTTGTTACACTAGATGTTTGGATATTGATTGGGGTTGACAAGTCATTTTGGCTGGTAGATTTCCCATTTTAAGGTATGAATTAAGCACAAGTACAATACAGTGTAGAGTCTAAGGGTAAATACAGGGTCGTGAATGTACCTTCACCAAGTGCCCTCTTCAGCAAGTCGTGCTTGGCCTGCAGTTTGGAGATGAGATTGCTGCCTTCCAAAAACTCCCGGAATTTCTGTGGAGAATTTAGAGTAATTACCCAGCAGCCCTGAGCACCGGCAGGAGCACCCACTCTTAAGACGGCAGTCTGTGACGAAGCAGCCAAGGGCAAAAGGACGTGCTAAGCGCCCCTTTTAGAAACCCTTATCAGAGCATGTCCATCCCTGGATTGAAACAAGATTGCAGCTGGCAGCTGGAAATATTCTGGGGCAGTTACTCCTCTGCCAGCTGATCAAAGATTTCATAGGAATGATGTGCACAAGTTAAACATCACCTACAACCCAAATATCAAGTATATTCATATATAGATAAAAGCTTTGACTACATGTTCTAAGATTTATTATATAGCTTCTGTGGTTTATGATCAGACAGGAATAAATCTGTTGTAAAGCTGCATTACAGACAGCATGGATTTGATATTTATTTCTGTCTTCTACATTAAAAATACATTTTAAAGTCATTACTTTCGGTAACTTGCAGCAGACGTCATCTCTGCACTCACCATGAAGTAGAACTGCTCCGTCTCTTGCTGGTTGGCTCTCCTCTTGGCGATGCTGGGCTTGCTGAGGTACGTCTCCGACACTGTGGACTTGACTGATTCGGTGGA